AGCACGTCTTGGTCAAGTCCCAGGAGAGAGTTCGAGAGTTGTAAACTAACTGAGTGGGTTTGCCGGAAACGTGTGTGTTTACTACTGTGGCTGTGTGACAGTGGCTGTAGACAAACAGATTATCAGGAGAAAATGGGATAGTTTTTTCTCTGTTATGTGCTACTGATGAATCCTATTTTAGTTCTCACAGAGAGATTCATACCACAAAATATTTATTTTTGGCAACTTTCACAAAAATTTTGGTGGTGGTTACTTATGAAAATTTCCTTGTATATCAATAGAGAATAGATCCCAGAAACTTCTCGGGAATAACCTATTCCAGGTTTAACATTGCTTTGATTTAAAATGCAGTTTTGTATAGTTTTAAAATGCAAATTTTAAATATGGGACATTGGCTAACATTTCAGGCTAGAAGTCTTATTAATGGATCTACATGTCTATATAAAGTTTACTAAATCTAGATATGTTAAGGCTGATTTATGTTAAGTAGGAGAAATGTGACCCAACTTTAAGACATTATAAGATAAAAGTAAACTATACAGAACTGTTTGGCTGCTTGGTACTAATATATCTAGTTAGAAAATAATGATGTTTGCTATTCTTTGTTGAGTTGTTTTACCTTTGTTTAAAGTCATTTAATATATTTTTCTTAATAAATTAGATTATTCAAATTTGGCAATTAAAGAGTATTAAAGAAACGGTATCCTTTTATATTTATCCCTCCTCATACATAACCATTGCTTTTCTTAACATGTGATCTAGTTTTCAGTTTATGTTTTGATTTATTTTCAGCTTTTTGCTTAGATTGTACCTGATATGTTTCATTATTTTAAGAAATGTATCAACATCAAGATATGGTGAGTTCTTTTCAAGTTAACAACAACAATAAAGAAATACAAATTTCTTATAAACCTGAGCAATATGAAAGGTAATCGCTAACAGGCAAATGTAATGTGTGCCTTTAAAAATACAGAGCAATCATTCTTGATTGATAATTAAGTTATTACTTTATTTGAGTCAAATTGGACTTAGAAATTGGACTTCGAATTTTTTTCTTCTGATATGACCCAAATGAAGATTCGAGTTCACCTAATTTTAAGTTATATAAATAAATACACAAATTGAAACTTAAAGTGAATATTTTATGCTTTAACAAGGGAAGATACTCATCCAAAAGAGAAATAATAAAATCATCTCTTCCCTTATCTCTAGGATCTCTTGGCTGGTCGAACCCTGACCATTATTAATAGTGTTTCAAGTTTCTTCCATTTACTTTCATTAAACTGGGTTATTCATGTATCTTCAAGTGAAATGGCTGAGCTTTCATGATAATTCTNTGACTGAGAAATAATATTGGAAGTCCCTCCTAGATAGTTTATTCCTTCTTAAGGATCTGAACAAAATTGCTTCCCTTTGAATTTCATGCCATATCTACAAATCGGATTTTAAAAAAATATATCCAAGCACATTTCTCTACCATGTATACTTTTCACTCTGCTCATCCTGTCTTTCTGGAAGCTTTTTAACTACCTACTGAGCAGCTCTGTCTAAGGATTAATAGTGGCACAGGGCCCAAGTGGAATGACAAATAAACAGGCAGGAAAGACCTGAAAAGTCAAATGGCAAATAAGCCCTGTGGAGTAGCAGGGGAGGGAAGGGTGAGTGAGGATATGGAGGAAACACCAAAAATAACATGCACATCAGTTTCTCAGGAATATTAGGATTTTGAAGGAAATAATGTTTGAGAATCGTCAGAAACAGAGCACAATGGAGGACAGCCAGGCTGATGTGGGACGGAGGAGTCAGGGACTTGAGAACTCAGGGTCATTGTCAACCCCGTTCCCTTTGGTTTTCAAGATGTGTCAGCTGTTCACTCAGTGGTTCCTGAAGCAGGTCTCTCCTTGTTGCAAACACAAAGCATGTCTTCCTCATGTCAACTACACTCTTTCCAGTTCATCCTACATATCATCACCAGGCTAATATTCCCAGAATTTTGATTTTTATCAGATAATTCTCCTGTCGGTGATAAACTTTCCATTTCCTATAGGTAAAGTGTATATTCCTCAGTCTGAAATTGAGGGGGCATCATTATCTGATACCACTCACCTAGGGTGTTCTGCTTCTCAGTCTACCCTCAGCATTTACCCATTTCTTTAGCTTGAAAAGCCTCCTCAGTGTCTCCTAAATAAATGATGGTCTAGTTTGCTACATAGTTCTCCTTACGGTAAATAGTAGTCTGTCTTTTCTGTCTACCCATGCTTCAAGATCCAACTCAAGTCTGTTCTACAAGGCTTTCTGTACAAATCTATGTGGATCTGCTTGTGTGATGATTTCTTCACAAAATCCATATGTGCCACACATTTTGCTCATAAATAAATGTCTTGAATTAAAAACATGATTACTTTTTCTCTTTGTCTAGACTGTAATCTTTTTGAGACCTTTGACCACCTTTACAATGATTTTTCATCTATTTTAGTACCTGGCATAGCACCGTACACATATTTGGTGCAGAGCAAGGTTTCTCAATATAGCCCCATCACATTTTGGCCTGGATAATTTTTTTTTTTGGGGGGGGAGGCTGGCTCCTGAACATTGTAGGATGTTTAGCAGCATCCCTGTATTCTACCCACTAGATGCCGGTAGCATCCAAACCAAATGTCTCAGTGTGACAACCAAAATGTCTCCATTTATGCCAAGTGTCCCATAGAGGTAAAAAATACCCCCAACTGAGACTCACTGGTGTAGAGTCAAAAGAATAAATTCTAACCAGTAGCTTGGCAGAAATCAAAGACCAGGAAAAGATTTGAGGGATGATTTTACAGTATTTTGGGGTCATGAAGGAAGACGAACTCTGTTGATGGAAGATAGTACATGTAAAATAGAACTTTCTCTTTGCCGTGACAGGCCATAGAAAAGCCATTATATTGGGTTGTTGGAAAAGTCATTACACATTTTTGCAACAAAAAACAAAAAAAAATACGTCATGACTTTTCCGACAACCCAATAGATCGATGAGCAATTGCAATGCACCTATGGTTAAGAGAGAACAAAATGATTGAGGTATTCTTATGTTGAAGTTCCAAAAATATTATTTTAGTTTTTATTTCATTTTGAATCATTTAATATTTAGAAATACCATTTTCAGTGAAATAAGTATTTCATTATTGAACTGGAAATTTATCTAGAGTTCATACATAACCAATATCTTCGGATTAAGAACGACTTTTTTTGAAGTGTATTTGAGAGAATGAATTTGAAATTATGGGTGCAGGTTATTGTAAAGTTATAACTGTTGACAAGTATCAATTGTGTTTATGCATGATCTTACATATTTTTCTTGACTATTTGAGTATTGTCCTCAAGTTTAGCAAATATTTGAGCCCCACACCTATGTAATGTGTGTGTGTGAGAGTAGCCTAGACAATGCTTACCACTCTAAAACAGTGATTTTGTATATTTCTGCTACTCTCTCATAAATTCTTAGGCTTTTCTTTTAGTATCAAGCTAATACATGACATTGATACTATATGGTTGATGTGCTGCTAATGTGGAAATAATGCCTGATATCCTCTTTTGACAGCTGTGTGCCAGCCACAGTGCAAACATGGTGAATGTATTGGACCAAACAAGTGCAAGTGTCATCCTGGATATGCTGGAAAAACCTGCAATCAAGGTAGGGCAACAGTGTGACACAAGCAAACAATCATACGCTCCCTCTGTTCCCGCCTGATAGCAAAATTTCAAGTTCTCATGCCCAGCTTTTCCATGACTATTGTTCTACACATGTGAGCGGCCATTAGCTGACAGATTAAAAAATATAAAGTTAAATCTTTTAAAATATATTTAATCAGAGACTAGTTAAAATAATTCCATCCTCTTTTTGTGCTCACTGCTAATAATTAGTATACTGGAGAAGAGAATCGCAGCATTGGTAATGTTAGGAGCCTCAAGTTCTGCTCCTCCTTGGTCATCCACTAACTAGCAGGGAAGCCTTGGCAAATTCTTAGCCTCCTAGGACCCTGGTTAGGTGAAAACACTTTAATACGCAAAAGTCAGGTAGGAAGTTTGACTTGAAATGTTGAGGTCCCTTCAAACGCTGAGCCCTTTGATTTTGTGATTCAATTCCCTTCAACAGTTGACCAGTTTGCAATGTTCCTCTGAGAAATAAATATTTTGATTGGCAAGTTATGTTGAATTGGCATCAGTTGCTTATAAAAGCAAACATTTACTTAGCACTCACAGTGCCCCAGGTATTTTATATATATAATCTATTTTCATCATTACAATATTAGGATGTAGAATGTTATTTATAATTAAGTTATAAATAATCATGTATTATTTCATTTTTCATTTGAAGAAATATCAGGGATATTAAATGCTTTGTCCAAGTTTGTAAAATTAGTTGGTAAAAGACCTACTATGTCAGCTTAGAGCTATTTTCTGTATAATTCATGGTTTTTTTCTACCAATTTAGTTTTGGATGAAGGAAACATCATTGGAAATGTGACCCTCTGACACACACTAACAAGCCTGACAAGGCTTGTCTTTTTAATTAATTTCAACCCCAAACTTTCTTCCATTAGGTGTAAAAAAACCAGAAGTAAAGAAAAGCTATGATCAGATTTCACTAGAAATATACAAGGATAAAAGAGTCAGTTTTTCACTTATTTCTAAAGGCAGTGCTCCCTATCATTTTAAATGTCAAATGAAACAATTATGTGGGGTCTAACTGTCTCATCTGATACAGAAATGATATTGTTCAAATACTCTTATTCTTCAATACCTGATACTCCTTGAGGCGTGTGATGTAAACTTATGATTTATAGACATAGTTGTCACAACAACCCAGAACACTGTTGTTTGACAGTACGTCTGATTGTTCCTGCGCTATCAGATGAAATTCATGCTGGTAAAACATGACATGTCCAATTGTAGGACAAGCTGTTATTCTCAAGTGTGTTCTAAATTATCTGATACTTGATGGATAACTGATGTTTTCCAGTGCTTCTTTTCTAATGTTTTTTAAGTTGGAATTTACCTAACATACCTGGCTAGTATTTTTAAAATAAGTGGGGTTCTTATTATCTCAGTTTACTGTCTTAAAAATCCATTTGATTTTCTTTTTTTAGTCTAAGTTCTCAAGTAGCAGCATGTTCGGTTCTGATTATTGAGTTATCAGTGTTCATCTTAGAGTCCCAGCATGCTTCTTTTTTTTTTTTAAGTGATGAACATAAACCATCAGAGGTTCATTAATATGTCAGCATCATAAAACTTGTTGTCCTGTTGCCAGGAATTTATACAAAGAAGATTATTGAAAGAAGCTACTGTTGAGATTGCAGAGAAATTCATTTAAATTGATTTGCAGGAGCTGCATCAACTTTAATATGCTTCAAAGATACTAAAACTATTACTGGAACAAGGATTCACCTCTGGGTATCTCTTATTTTCAGAAAACCAGTTTACCAAGTACTTTTTCCTATCATACATATCTGATTCTCTAAAGAGAAATTGAAATATACTGAGTTGAAATCTTGCCTTCCAAGACTATATTCCTTAGGGGGAGGGGGATTTCATTAGCAGCAAAATGGGATTTTCCACCTGCGAAAATAGCACTGACACTGAAAATGTCATTTCAAATCCAATCACGCATATAAAACTCCAGCTTACAGTAAACTTATGTGTTTTAATCATCTCTCTTGTTGCCTTCTTTACCAGAAAAGCAATTTGGCAAGTTCCTGCTGGAAAGCTTTATGTTCTTTGAGAACAGGAACCCTCCGTGGTGCCTCTCTGATTTCTGGGTTCCTGAAAACTATTATTAAAGTGACTTGCGCATGATTTAGTGCACATTAAATAGTTATTAAGTGAATGACTTTCATATAATGGTTCTTGGTCCTAAAAGCCCGAGGAATTTGAAAGAGTTCCATGGAGTCGTCGGGTACCTTAGCCAGTCAGCCTTTGAATCCGTGGATGGCGAGGCCTGTCAGGGTGAGAGCGGCTGCCGTGTGTGAGCTGAGTAAATGGGAGAGCTCTGAGAGACCCCAAGAAATGTTGTTAGAGCAAATTGTCTCTGTCTGCTACACAACAAAGTAACTTACCCTTTACCTGGACTGTGCATTGTAATAAAGTGGAAAACACACCTCCAAGATATGGGGAATCAAACGGGTTTCTTTTTTCTTAAGGATGGAACTGTCAAGAAGAGGTACCTTGAAATAATTTCACAGAGCTGGAAATTAGCTTTTGATTAAAAGTAGGGTATAAGGCAAGTATCTGCTAAAGATTTTGTTGCGAACTGTGTACTTGAAGAAATCACCCCTTGTAACTTGCTTGGCTGAGGGAACAGCTTGAGTAAATGACAAGCGCTTATGAGGACTTTTAGAGCTGCCTGGGGAGCAGCCAGAACAGCAGGGCAAGCCCACTTTGGAACGGGCTTAATTTAACAGGCTGTCACAAGATTAGTTTAATCTGCTATTGGAGGCTGGCTCTTCCCCGTGAGTCATTTTTCTGGATTTGCTATAGCTGGATCACATATAAAATCGTAGGCTTAGACTGGTCGTTAGCGTATTCTATAAGGTACCTGGTACCTTTCACGGTAGACGAAATTCTAACCTGAACTCTGGCAAGATTTGCTTTTTTCCACCTTACTTTCCCTGGTCATTTTTTACATGCATATTTTCCCCCTCTTTGAGTCCCTGAACCCATACAAATCCCCTTTTCCCTGAGCCAAAAAAGGATACTATTATAGATAATAATCTTTTCATAACTTTCCCACTAGGGAATGATTTTTAACATGTAATATATCATTGCATATTTTTAGGAGTGGAAGGTATTCTTTTGAATTCACAGTGCACTTTATAATAATTTCAGAAGAAACAATTTATAAATATCAATTACTAATGTTTTGACGTGGTTTATGTTTCATATGTTGAATTCTTTATCCCAAGAAAAGAATCAGGGTCTTAGAGCACAGAACCAGACAGTAAACCTTGGTGGACTAGTTAAATCTGAGCTGATTGCTTTCTTTCGCACAACAGCCTAAGTGCGTTAACCCTAATATTAAGGTAGTATCTTATAACCTTACCTTTTGAAGGATGTGTGATTTCAATCCCAGAAACCAATCTTCATTTAATTTGGGAGTTTATTAATAATAGTCTTGAAACAGAATGTGATTGCCTTTTTGACTCTCCACTTCTGAATCTCACCCATCTTATAGTATTTGGGTAAGCTAATTACGGGAACCGTTACCATTACCATTTTTTTGCAGAAAGCTTCTTAAATATATTCTAATTAAAGGTGATCTAAATGTAGCATAAGTTCCTACATTTGAATGAAAACATTGATTATGCTATTTATTTAAATAAGGCCTTTAAGCAAATCATAGCTTTGTGCATAATTTTGGAGTATTTTAAACTATTGCATGACATTTAAAAAGGAAACAGTCCTAAGTAGGTCATTCAAGACCTCAGTATCCTTAAACAGAGCACATTGATTGTAACCAATATTTGTGTAATCTGTTTTTGATTTTTTGTTTTTTTCAGTTTTCTCTCTTTGTTGATAACTAAAATCATGCTTTTAAAAATGACCATCTCTTTTTTGGTGTTTTGTTTTGTTTTAATTGGTATGACAATGATGATTGTTAACTTATAGTGGTGTTCTTGGGAAGAAAGATGACAGTGATAACGTTTTAAGGAAAATAGAAATTAAAAAAACAGAGACGCTGGAAGAACTAGAAACTATTTTTTGTGAAATATCTAAAGGATTCTTTTTGAACGCCACCAACTTTATGTCATTGTTTAATATATACTTATAAAGATTTTTAGGGCTAAAAATGGCATCAAAGTTGACTCTTATTACCTTCTTCCTGGTGTGAAGACGAACACTTCTACCCAACTCCTCTTGACCAAGGCAGTGAACAGCCTCTTTTCCAACCCCTGGATCATCAAGCCACAAGTGTACCTTCAAGGGGTGAGCGTGCGTTATCTCAGGAGGTCTGCTCCTCCCACCTGCACGGCTTCCTGCAGTTATGTCACTTGTTGCAAATGTTCTGAAGAGGAGCCCCAGGAGGGCCCAGCCTCAGCATCCTGAGCTTGTGAAGCAAGCAACAGGAATTGTCTCCTGGTGCTGGTTCTCTGTGCTCTGAAAAGCCTGGAGCCTCCGCTGTCCTTTCACTCCATCAAGTGTCATTGCTTTCCTTCTTCTTCTCTGGGTTTCAAAAAATCAGATAATGAAATCACTTCCATTTTCATAAGTAGGTGACGTCAGGAATTCCAAAGCAACTGAGACCAGGGTTCTGATAGATTTTGCTAAGTTGATTTTAGAAGTAATCAAGTCCTCTTCACCGCTCTATTTAGGGTGGAGAGTGTAAGGTTACCTGGAAATGAAACCATATGTTAGCGTCCTTTCTTTTGTGGACATTTTGTAATATTAGAAATTCTACGTTCTGGTTCCAGGACAGCCCTTCAGTAGCTGTATGACTGCAAGCAAGTCATTTAATGTGTCTGGGTCTTAGCAAAAACAATTAGTAATAGGAGGAGAGGAATTCCTGCCCTGTTTGCCTGCAGGGTTGGTGTGAGAATAGAAACACCAAAGATAGTGTCTTCATTATGCTGGAAAGTTTTGTAGAAAACTTAGGGGGCAACATGATTTTACCATTCTTCTAAAAGACTTTATCCCTCACCCACTAATAGACTTAGAAACTTAGAATGACAGAATTAAAAATGCTGAAATTATTAATTACTGTCTCAGTTGATAGGGAACTTGACGCATTTGTATATCTCCTGAACAAAGAATTAGGGCAGTGGTATTAATTTTAGAGTCATTGATGTCATTGCTGTCTTTAAAGAGTAAGAGTCATGGCAGTTGACATATTGGCATCTGTTTGCCTATGACCTCCACTTTAGTCAGATGAAATATAAAAGCTTAGGCTTCTGAGACATTGCCTAATTTAAGCCTCAAAGGAAAAAAAATCCAAGTGCATTAAACAAAGGAAAGATGATTTCTCCTTAAAAAATCCATTGGGTTCCCTTAGTCAATGAATCTCTTCCAGCTTTTCAAGCTACTTTTCAGTGTCTGCATGCTGATACAATGTCTAGTTCTTTTGTTTCCTAAAGTGTAATCACAGTGCTGTGCAGCTTGCATTCATGTTCTGGACCAGCTCCTTGCTCCCGCCCCTTCCTTTCCCAAGCTCCTAAATCCACCAACCTGCTGAAATATATCCCTGGCTTATAGAATATATACTTAATAATGAACACCTTTGAATGTAAGTGGTTTAATTGTAAAGTTCTGTTCTTTGTGTGATAAGATAGGTCCATGATAGAGTTTATTAAATGGTTTATTTATTATATATCTTATAATTTATATTATAAACTTCTAGAGAAAGAGCAAGATTAAAGTAAATTTAAAACAAAACACTAAAGTTTTCTTTGCTAGGGTCTTTTTATTAACTTTTAAGATTGACTTGACAAAGTATGATCAAGGAGACTTTTCATGTTCTTTACATTGTGCCACTTATTATAGGAGTATGTACTAGAAATTGGAAGTGTCATATGTGAATTTCTAACTTAATTTGATAGTAACACAAGAGTTAGTAGTTATGTAGTCCAAGACATTTTGGAATCAGCCTGTATTAACTCAATTTTATAAGGCATTATGTCAATAAGAAAATGAGGTAAAATAATCATAGAATAGAAACCCTGAAGAAAATGGAGGAAACTGAAGTTCATCACCAGGATACCAGATGCTTTTAATCTTCTGAAGATCCCTGCTTTAGCAGAAGTCTGATATTTGGTAAATGCTGATAATTATGGATTATTGTAGAATCGTATTTCATAATTTCTGCAGTGGGTTTTATAAGGGTTATTGTGAAGTTTTTAGGAGCCACATGCCTGTGGCAGAGGGGACAATGATGGCAGTCACTGGGGACATCAACACTAGCCTACTGTCAGGGAGAATCAATCACTCCATCAGCAGCTGGTAGAGTACAGCTTTCTCAAATTGCTTCCAGTGTATTTGGATATTTATGTGTCAATGACAGTAAAATAGTCAACAAATGTCTCTACCTTTACCCAGTGAATGTTGCACATTTATTTTCTTTTCCATATTATGTCACCGAGTGATTCCCAGGTTCTTTTGGAATTATGACATCTTATTAATTTTTCATTTCCTTTCACTTTTATGATTCTTAATCCCAAAGTGATTTTTCTCATGGGAAGGGAAGGATAAATTTGGATCACAGACTACCAGCAGCCCCAGTCTGAATCAAGGAAACTCTCAGAGCAGTCGTAAGGAGGTCTTTATCAGCCAGGACTAGGGCTGCCTCAGATGAGCCTCAGGTTTAGTCCATGGACATAATACCTGAAGAACTTTTCATCAGCATAAACACTCCTTGTATATGAGCTTCCTGGTACTGTAAACATCTGACCAGCTCCTATCAGGAAACCCACAGAAGTTTATGCGGCTCTTTAAAAACAATCCTAAGAGTTCTTAGTTGACACATTTTATATCGATCAATATCCTTCCCTTAAGATACAGAATTCAGTCTTACTCTATTGCTTTGTTGTACTGTACAATTTTATTTTTCCTTAGTGAAGAGAAATATTTAAAACTCAAAGCCTTTCTCTAACAATGTGCTCAGATTTAAATACTATTTACTATAATATCAATCGGATTTATCAAAGCCAAGTGTGACTCTCTGCAAGGACATATTAGGAATAATAATCAACTCCTAGGACATGAGAAAAGGTTCCCTGACTTTTTAAATAAATATTGAAATACGAAGTAGAAGAATGTAAGAAGTGGAGTGAATTTCTTTGTCATTCCTCCTTGATTTAAAATTTTTACTTCATTGAACATGGAGAAATCAAATTTTTGTTGATACTATAATCTGCAAAGCACCTTCTTAGGGAAACTTTTTTGAAATATCTTAAAATGTGATTCTGTTTTGAATACCCTTGACTGGGCAAGAGACAATCAAGTATAAAATTTAAGAAAGCATAGGAGATGACAAAGGTTTGTTATTTAATCTTCCCAGTCTTTGCACAGCTAGGGATCCTATAGTTGTGCTAAGGTTACCAAGTTGGAAAGTCAGTAAAATATTTAGAAAATTCTAGATCCAATAATTATTTGGTGGTTTTAAAAAACAATTAACTTGGTAGCTTAATTAAATAAAATATATGGGTTTCTAATAAACAATCAAGTCAGATTTAAATTTGATTAGATTTGAAAACAACTTGCAACTAGATTTATCCAGATTTCTGATTTGATGACATAGATTAATAGATAATTAAATTATGCTAATCAGTGCTTCTGCTGGCAGTTCCAGACAAAATAAACATGTGGTCATATTTCTTTTTAATGAAATCTATATTTTTGGCCATTACTATTTCAGCGCTTATATGTCATTATGAGTTTTATGTTCACTTGAGGCGGTGTTCAACTTGGCTTGGAAAATTCTCAATGTGCAATTTACTAATTCATTTCATATTGATATTTAAACCAGTAATCCTAAAATACATAATGATAGTCCATTATGTATTATTCATTAGTATTTCATATGCCCTTCGTAACTGCCAAATGAATGAAAATATGTTGGAGGGCTGTTTTCTGTTTAAGTTTATTCTGTGACTTGACTGCATTACTGAAGTTGGAAACTGAAGTTTTGTCTTTAATCTGAGATCAGTATAGAATCTAAGCTTGAACAAGAGAAACCACAATAGCGATCATTCTAATTCATGTAGCTCTTCTCTGAAAATGCAGCTTTTATATGGAAAGGTCCAAGCAGTCTAATGTTTATACTTTCCATAAACTAAAATAGGCTCACATAGTACCTTCTTTAAACAGAGACAGGAATAAATTAAAAGATGATCATGTCAGGAGTGAATCTAGTAGAACCCAGATATTTGTGAGAACACGGGAGTCAGACAGATGACCAGAGCAGCATGAGGGGTTAGTATGCTTTTTCTAGGGATAGTGAGGTAGGCACAGCGTACTCTAACTACCTGCCCTTGTGAACAGAGATCACAGGTACTATATACTTTAAGCTCCAGAAACTCGCACGGCCTCCTCATTGTTATAAGGCTTTCAGTCACTTTTGATAGAAAACTCTTAGTGGCCCCTAGTGTAACTGGCATTCAAATGAAGACAGTGTGATGAACAAGCTCTCGCTCTCAGGGAAACAACTGGTTACTATAGCTCGACCTACTTCCCTCCTTCATTTTTCCCTATAGAGAAGTATTTTAAATGGTTTACCCTTGTGCTGGGGCTTTGTGATTCTTCTCCTTCAACCTCCACTCTTTTCAGACCTGAACGAGTGTGGCCTGAAGCCGCGGCCTTGCAAGCACAGGTGCATGAACACCTATGGCAGCTACAAGTGCTACTGTCTCAACGGATACATGCTTATGCCGGACGGGTCCTGTTCAAGTATGTCAGGAATCTTAACTGTTTTATAAGTGCTTTGGGCTTGATTTATTTTATGCTGTGCTCCGGTAGTGTGCAAATGAAGGCGACGTCCCAGGCTCCCCTCCTAAACAGGACGTGTGAGTGTGTGCTTATATGTGCGCCTGAGGAATTGTAATCAAAATAAGAGTTGTCCTATTTGGATAGTTAGCATTCTTTTACTATGGGTGCCAATGTTATATTGATCTGGAAACAATACTTAGCACAAGAATAACACAACTAAGTGTATTTTCTAATGTTTTTCCCCCAACATGTTTTTCCCTGTCTTCTCTCTAGGCAGAGAGCTATTCCAGCTAGAAAAAGAATGTTACTGATTATTTGAGGACTTTTTTGCTATCCATAAATATGGACACTAAATTGTTTGTTGGTAGAGAATCCATCAAGCTTGTTGATTGATTATAAGCCATTCATAAATACCTCCTCACTTTATTTTTATATTTCTTTATAACAGTCTAAGTACTAAGTTATATCCCTTTTTTAAAACCACTTCAAATGAAAAAAAATATTATAGTATCATAAAAGTAAATTATGTGTATCTTTGTAAGAAAGAAATGCATGCATTTCCTATTATCATTTGGATGTGTTTGTAAGATGGTTAATGCCCTAAAATTCTCTGTAAGTTGAACATTAAATTGAGGTTGTGTTGCTATATCCAACAATTGATGACTTGATTTTAATTTTTGCTGAATTATCAGCTACTTACCAATCAATTAATTATAAGTTATCTCTAACTGGGTTGTGTTTTATAAAATAAAGGCTAGCTAATTTCATTTGGCATTGCATATTTAGCATGGAACTTTTTGGATGAGGTGAGTTCATGTTTAGTAACCTGTGGCAGTAATGCTAGAATCCTCTAACATTGTACAACTCAATGGGAAATCTCCTGCTGTCCCTAGAGAAATTCAATGGAAGGTTGAGACAGTTCTGTGGATGTTTCTCTTAAGATCAGCACTTGCATGAGTAATCTGGAAAACTACCTTCATTCTCCATTTTCCTTGGCCACTGGAAACATTCCCAGATAATCCATGTGAAATAAAGTTTTACATTCATCTTTTAAATCCTCAAATGCATTAGGGGTCTTCCTCAGATATATAACAGAGCTGGTTCACTTCCGAATCCCTGGGAGAGGAAAGTCTTTCTGTCCCTCCCCCTATTTTTGACTTTCTTTAGACTGTTGAATAATTGAGGCCTTTTGGTCTTCATTGTTGATTCAGAGTCACTGACTCAGGACAAGTAAAACACATAGTTATTTCAGTTATAGAGTTTTTTCTCTGAGTCAGCCAGTCACACTCGTTCCAGGTGCCCTGACGTGCTCCATGGCGAACTGTCAGTATGGCTGTGATGTTGTCAAAGGACAAATCCGGTGCCAGTGCCCCTCTCCTGGCCTGCAGCTGGCTCCTGATGGCAGGACCTGTGTGGGTGAGTTATAAAATCAAGCATCTCTCTCAGTAGCCTGTCTAGGAAAAGGAAGAAAGTGAAAGGTAATGGGAGTAAGAAAACAAAAAAAAAAGGCAGTTACTTCCATCAGCTACTTAGCTATCCTTCAGAAGGTATCAGATGTCTCAGAAGAGGACTTCTCTCTCTGAATGGACCATGCAAATCGTGTTCTCCTAAAAATGAGGAACCGGAGGAAGTTCAGGCAGAGGCATTTTGCAAAGGTATTGAAGTTTGAAGGAGCACAATGTTCAGGGAAACAAGAAATTAGTGTTTCTAGAATGTAAGAGGCAATGACCGGTGAAGCTGAACAGGTAGACAGGGCTAGATTGTATGTATTGCACTGAAAAGTTAGATTTTTTTCCCCTGTAAATTAGGAAGACAGTATAGGATTGTGGTTAAGAGTCTGGGCTTTGGTTTCAAACCTGGCTCTGGAATATACGTGCTATGTAACTTTAGGCAAGAGAGTTCTTTCTTTGACTTGAGTCTCCTTATCTTTAAAATTGGAGTAATGTCACATAGAACCATTGTGAGAATCAAATGAGCTCATGTGTGGAAAGATCGTAGCATGGTACATAGCATGTAGTAAGTACTCAATGAATGGAAGTATTTGGTGATTCAAAGACAAAGACATTTATCAATTACTTTCTGTATTCCAGGCACTGTACTAAGTGCTAGGATATACAGTAATGGACAAAGCTGACAAGATTTTGCTCCTCACAAAGCTGATATTCTAATGGGGAAGACAGAAAAGAAACGACTATTCAATAAAATTACAAGCAATACTAAGTCTTAACATGAGGTACTAAGAGAGAGAAAAACAGAAAGGGCCTATTTTAGAAACTAACGGTCAAGGAAAGCCTTAATGTAAGACCTGGACCATTGGCCACATGGAGAATCAGCCAAGCAGGAGGAAACACTGCAGGCACTGCAGTGAGAGAGGGCGGCCTGCCTGAGGTCTTGAGAGAAAGTGGCTAAGTAGAGTGGGGATATGAGCGGCGGGGGCTTGAGATATAGCGGGTGAGGCCGGTGGGGGCTGTTTATTGCAGGGCCTTCAAGGATGTGGTGAGGATTTCATTCCAAAAACCAGTAGAAACAGTAGGAGAGTTTTAAGCGTGGTACTAATCTGATTTTATGTTGTAATAAAATCATTTTGATGGGTGACTGGGAATGGTTTGGAGGGGTAAGATTGGTTGGGAAGAGGTGGGTTTGGAGGCTTCTAACAGTCTAGCCTGGAAGATGGTAACCGACAGTAGGGTAGTGGCAGCAGTTGAAGAGGAGACAAATTCAAATAACCTTTCAGAGGTAGAGTTAACTGAGCCTGATGATTTAGGGTGAAAGGAAAGAGGGTTGTCAAGGGTGACTCATGTTTTAAGTCCAGGCAACTAGGTGGGTACAGGTACAGTACATGCTGAGATATGGTGCTGGAGGAGGGCAGCCTGGGTTAGGAAGATGAATAGGAATTTGGAGATGTGGAATTTATGTTGCCTGTGAGGGCAACCAGCTGGATAATGTTTATGATGAGTCACTGTGTGCCAGGCAACTGTTTGCAGTTATTTATTGAAACATCCACTTCATCTGAGCATGCTATTGCTCTTCTTAAAATGCAACTGGCTTATGTTTCTAGATATTGATGAATGTGCTACTGGAAGAGCTTCCTGTCCTAGATTTCGGCAGTGTGTCAACACTTTTGGAAGTTACATCTGCAAGTGTCATAAAGGTTTCGACCTCATGTACATTGGAGGCAAATACCAATGCCATGGTAATGAACCCCAGTCATTGCTTTCTGTTGTTTCTCCCTGTGGCATGGAAAGGTCTCTTCATTGTGCAGATGACTGGGGTGCCAGGGGCAGAGGGTACTGGCATTAAACAAACAGAAGTCCATTTCAACCACTACTAGTTCTGGATGCACATGTACTTTTTTTCTTTTTAATTTTATTGGGGAACAGTGTATTTTTCCAGGACCCATCAGCTCCAAGTCAAGTAGTTGTTTCAATCTACAATAATTGTGCAGGGCGCACCTCAGTGGCCTATGTGGGAATCAAACCGGCAGCCTTGGTGTTATGAGCACTGCGCCCTGCGTTCTAATCACCTGAGCCAACCAGGCATCCCTGAATGCACATGTGCTTTATTTCTTCTATTTACCTGCCAATTTCACATGGACCATCACATTACAAAACAAGTTTTTTTGGGAAACTGTATATATATTATTATGTCATCGTATTTATCTCCCAAATAAACCTCTTCTTTCCCTACTTCCTGATACAGATATAGATGAGTGCTCCCTTGGTCAGTATCAGTGCAGCAGCTTTGCTCGCTGTTTCAACATACACGGGTCCTACAAGTGTAAATGTAAAGATGGCTACCACGGCGATGGACTGAGTTGCGTGTGTGAGTAATGCTTGTCTCCCATTTCTAAATTTCAGAAGGAAATACAGGATTGCTCAAAGGCCCTTACTAGGGAAGACACAGAACAAGATTAATTTATTAAAGAAGTACAGTTTTCATAGTTGGTAATATTATTTTGTTTTTTGCACAAACAATAAAATCATTTGTTCAGGTATTTTGAAAAATTAAAGACTCAGTAATACATTCTACTCTTAAAAGCATTTAATTCCTTGATTGAAAATCTCTCAGTAGCTTCCCTTTAGCTGGCAAGAAATTTTAGAGCCCTCCAGGGAATTTAATTTTCTTAAAATCAGAAACAAATATTTGTTTGTCATTAGCCTTAGGTTTATGATGGTGGAATAATCTGACTGCATTCTACATTTTTTGTTCCTCTGTTTTATGCCTCCTAATTGTACTACTAAAAAACAAAATCATTCCCATATTTATCTATTTTCTCTACATTTAGGATTGTTTTGCTTTTCAATTTTTATAAGCTCTGTTTGGAGTATGACATATTAGTAGATAAACATGAAAATAAATACCCTCTAACATGGAAATTTTCACAAACCAAAGGCCAAAATTATCACATATTTCATGTAATAATAGATAATTTATAAATATTTTTGGAGTGAAATATTTACTGAAAATCGTGGAGCATAAAATCATGGGGATTAAAGGATTTTTGAAGGGTCATGTAGTCATACTCCCCCCAGGAGTAGATCGTACCAGATTAAATATTTCTCTTGGTGAAAATAGTCAAGGAAAAAGATCCCACAGATGATCTTGGTGACTTCTGAAAATTTATTTTCAAAAAGATTGTATAAATTAATAAGGGGAAGGAAAACCAGCTATAAAACAATATGTAGAACATTTAAGGAAAATGTTTTGCATAAGTCAATTTTATATAAAGTATAGAAAAGTATTAGTCTTTAGACAATTCTAAAGATGATTTTATAATATGTATGTATTATGGGGACATAACATAGATTCTATATTTTTTTCATATTTTAAAAACTTTAGAATTTCTGCATCTTAAAAATCTCATTGCTGTTTCCGCTTTACAAATACTTATAACTTTTTTTATGCTTGAAATAAAATATTACAGAAACACCAATATAACTTTTGCTTCCATTCACAGGATAACTATGTATCCTATATCTATATCTATGTATCTATACATGCATATGTATTTGTTATTTGGAAACCAGCATGAGTTACAGTAGGGGAATAGTCTAAATGTGAAAAGTAAGCCTAGTTGGCACATATTTTGTTGTTTTTGCTTTTTACAATTTGATGTTTTACTTTTTAGGAAGAGATGGTTACACACTAATTTAAATATTTTGACTCTTTTAGATATTCCAAAAGTCATGATTGAACCTTCAGGTCCAATTCATGTACCACGGGGAAATGGTACCATTTTAAAGGGTGATGGAGGACAAAGTAATTGGATTCCTGATGTTGGAAGTACTAGGTGGCCTCTGAAGACACCATATATTCCTCCTGTCATTACCCACAGGCCCACTTCTAAGCCAGCAACAAGACCTACACCAAAGCCAACAATATGGGCTACCCCACCCCCACCCCCACCCCCACCCACAGAACTCAGAACACCTCCACCACCACCTACCCCAGAAAGACCAACCACCAGACTGACGACTGTAGCACCAGTTGCTACCACACCTCCAAGACGGATTACAGTTGACAACAGGATACAGACAGACCCTCAGAAACCCAGAGGAGATGTGTTCAGTAAGTCATAATAAATGTTAGTGCCTTTCTTTGAGCTTTTTGTAGTTATATTGAGATATAATTGACATACAGCACTGTGTTAAGTTTAAGGTGTACGGCATAATGGTTTGACTTATGTATAATGAAATGATTACCTTAAGTTTAGTTAACATCTATCATCTCATATAGATACAAAAAAAGAAAAAAGTTTTCCTTGTGATGAGAACTCAGGGTTTACGCTCTTAACTTTCCTGTATATACCATGCACAGTATTAACTATAGTCATCATGTTGTACATTACATCCCTAGTATTTATTTATCTTACCTGTATAACTAGAAGTTTGTACCTTTTTGACCAACATCCTTTTGACCACCTTTATCTACTTTCTCCTTCCCCCAGCCCCCACCTCTGCACATCTGCTGACCACAAAACTCACAAATCAAATCTGATCTCTCTTTCTTTGAGTTCTTTTTTTTTTAGATTCTACATATAAGTGAGATCACACAGTATTTGCCTTTCTCTGTCTGACTTATCTGACTTATTTCACTTAACATAACGTTCTCAAGTTTCATCCATGTTGATGGAAATGGCAGAATTTTCTTCTTTTTATAGCTGAAAAATATTCCATTTTGTCTGTGTGTGTGGGGTGTGTGTGTATTATATATATTTGTGTGTGTGTATTGTGTATCACATTTTCTTTATTCACCCATTAGTGGACACTTACATTGTTTCCATGTCTTCGCTATTATAAATAATGCTGCTATGAACATGGGGATGCAGATATCTGTTTGACATAGTGTTTTCATTTCCTTTGGATATTTTTCCAGAAGTGGGACTCTTGGATCATTATGATATTTCTATTTTTAATTTTTTGAGGAACCTCCATACTGTTTGGCATTGTGGCTATGCCAATTGATAATCCCACCAACAGTGCATGAGGGTTCTCTTCTCCACATCTGCTATCTCTTATTTTTTTTGATGCTAGGTGTGAGATGATATCTCATTGTGGTTTTGATTTGCATTTTCCTAATAATTTGTGATGTTTTCATGTACCTGTTGGTCATTTACATATCTTCTTTGGACAAACGTCTATTTAGGTCCTTTGCCCATTTTTTAGTTGGATTTTTGTTTTTTTCTTGTTGAGTTGTATGAGTTTCCTATATATTAAAGATAGCAAATCTTTATTTTATAAGTTGTCTTTTCATTTTGTTGTTTCTTTTGTTATGCAGAAGTTTTCTGTTTGATGTAGTCCACTTGTTTATTTTTTATTTTGTTGCTTTTGCTTTAGGTGTCATCTCCAAAAAACCATTGCCAAGACCCATGTAAAGGACCATTTTACTTATGCTCTTTTGAGAGTTTTATGGTTTCAGGTCTTATGTCCAAGTATTTAATCTATTTCAGGGTAATTTTGGGGAATAGTGTAAGATAAGGGTCTGGTTTCATTCTTTTACATGAATATCCAATTTTCCAATTTACTCCATTGAGTATTTTTAGCTCCCTTGTTAAATATTAGTTGACCATATATGCTTGGGTTTATTTCTGGGCTCTCAATTCTGTTCCATTGGTTTATGTGTCTGTTTTTATGCCAATGCCATACTGTTTTGATTACTATCACTTTATAGTATAGCATGAAATCAGGAAGTGTGATGCCTACCACTTTGTTCTTTCTCAGGATTGCTTTGGCTATTTGGGGTCTTTTGTGTTACTACATGTTTAATAAGCTTTTTATGATGACATTTCAACCACAGGTCATGCACTGAATAAGAATCAAACTCATAAAAAGAATTAGCTCTACAAAGTATAAGTCATATATCCCTATTGTTAAACATTATAAAGACCGGAATAAGTCAGTCAGTTGGGCAAATAAGAATGTGTGTAGAGGGCCAGCCGAGTCATTCAGTTGGTAAAAAGTTAGCTTAAGAGCGTGAGCTCTGAACAACAGGGCCACCGGTGATGCTGTGCCCAAGCTGAGCTTCCCCTGAGCTGCCAACAGGTGGCAGGATGGCTCGGCTGGTGAGAGCATGTGCTCCGAACAAGACTACCTGTTCAATGGTGGGCTTTGCCCACCCGCAACTAAGACTAAACTCGGCACCTTGAGCTGAGCTGCCACCTGGATGGCTCAGTGGATAGAGCATGCACTCTTTACAACAAGGCTGCTGGTTCGACTCCCGCATGGGATGGTGGCTATGCCCACCCGCAACTAAGATTGTAACACAGCACCTTGAGCTTAGAGGCCACAAGCTGCCAACAGGCAGCCAGATGGTGACTGGTGCCCTCCACAACTAAGATTGAAGAACAACAACTTGGTTGGTCTCCCTCCCCAATTTCCCAATACTGTTCCCCTCCTCCAATTCCCCAATTTAAAAGAAAAAAAAGAATGTGTGTAGAAATGGAAGGAATATCACAAAGTTATACAGTAGATCACAGCTCCTATCCAGTATGAAAATGCTCCTAACATATTCAGATCTACTTGAAAACTCAGAGATGGGGAACTTTCTATATCACATGCCATTTGACTTGCAATCTGTCCATTCATTCAATCAGTAAATATTTTTTAGTGCGTTTTAGAGTGTCAGGCCCTGTATTAGGCATTGGGTTTACAAAAATAAAACAGAAAAGGTTACAGTCTGGTGGAAAAGACAGTCACCCAAAAGGTAACTGTGGTATAGGACATTATGGGAGTAGAGACAAGAGGTAACTAATCAGTTTGGGGGCAGAGAGTACTTGGAGTGGGGGGACGGGTGCTTTTTGAGTGAGGGGCAAAGAGGATGAGAAAAGGGAGGCATTATAGTTAACAGAGTACAACAAAAGCACAAAAGGAGGGAGCAGCATAGCATATGCAATAAACTGGCAATAAACTGCTAATAAACTGGAGGGTTGAGTCAGGGACTGATGAGAAAAACTAGACAGCTACCTCTTGTATTTGCTCTAAACTGTGGTTAGATCCGAACTGGATCTAGATTAAAGACTCCCAGATTTTTAATGGGTGACTGGGTAAAGGGTGGTACCACAAATGGAGATAGACTCTAGGGGTAAAGACAGACGTTTTGAAGGAGGAAGAGTTTGTTCCCTTATTACCAGATCAAAGTTTGCAATTTTACAACTCTTCCTTGTTCCCTGAATTTTTCCATTTGTCTTGTTTCACTTTGCTTATTCTTAGCCTCCTTTGCATTCACTCCTCTCCTCTCCTTTTTTTTTTTAAGATTTTTTTTTATTGGGGAATTGGGGGGATGGGAACAGTGCTGGGGAATTGGGGAAAGGGGAACAGACAAGTTGCTGTCATTTTGTTCTTCAGTCTAGTTG